GACTCTGAATCATCCCTTTAAATGTGGTATAAAAAATAAAAATGACTTGACTTAGGGTTTCATTTTGAGAAAAAATCTTAGATATAATAAAAAGCTTAGAAATAAGGGAACCTAGAGCTGTGGGAACATAGGGCTGAACACCATCTGAGTAGCACATAGTGTGTAGCGACGGTGAGCATTGTTATGAAGGCTTTGTGTCATTGGACAATCTTATTTTTGTCCATTTCTGTGTATTAGGACCAATAATATATCCAAAAGTCCATGTTTGCTCTTGTACTTGTTAAACAGTACAGAGTTAAAATACAGTACAGTGAAATGAATGGTTCAGAACATTACATTAGTACAGTGGGTAATGATTTTTTTCATTGAGGTCACATGAGAAACAGAAAATATTTTGGCGAGCAGGGCCAAAATAATTAACTCAATTCTGCCAAAATATTGCCAAAATGCTGATAATCATAATTCTATATTTATATTCTTTATAAAAAAGCAGTAAATAGCATTGATTTGACAAGCTGGTAAGACTGGAAAGAGTTTATACTGTGACTAAGCAATGAAAAAGTGAGGCTGGAGGACCAGAGGAGACCAGAGGTTTAGACCTGGTTTAGTCTTGGTTTAGTCCTGGTTTAGACCTGGTTTAGTCTTGGTTTAGGCCTGGTTTAGTCCTGGTTTAGTCCTGGTTTAGTCTTGGTTTAGACCTGGTTTAGTTCTGGTGTAGTCTGGTTTAGTCCTAGTTTAGAACTGGTTGAGACCTGGTTTAGACCTGGTGTAGTCTGGTTTAGACCTGGTTTAGATCTGGTGTAGTCTGGTTTAGTCCTGGTTTAGACCTGGTTTAGACCTGGTTTAGTCTTGGTTTAGACCTGGTTTAGTCTTGGTTTAGACCTGGTTTAGTCTTGGTTTAGACCTGGTTTAGTTCTGGTGTAGTCTGGTTTAGTCCTGGTTTAGACCTGGTTTAGTCTTGGTTTAGACCTGGTTTAGACCTGGTTTAGTTCTGGTGTAGTCTGGTTTAGTCTTGGTTTAGACCTGGTTTAGTCTTGGTTTAGACCTGGTTTAGACCTGATTTAGTTCTGGTTTAGACCTGGTTTAGTTCTGGTGTAGTCTGGTTTAGTCTTGGTTTAGACCTGGTTTAGACCTGGTTTAGACCTGATTTAGTTCTGGTGTAGTCTGGTTTAGTCTTGGTTTAGACCTGGTTTAGACCTGGTTTAGACCTGATTTAGTTCTGGTTTAGACCTGGTTTAGTTCTGGTGTAGTCTGGTTTAGTCCTGGTTTAGTCTTGGTTTAGACCTGATTTAGTTCTGGTGTAGTCTGGTTTAGACCTGGTTTAGACCTGATTTAGTTCTGGTTTAGACCTGGTTTTAGTTCTGGTGTAGTCTGGTTTAGTCCTGGTTTAGTCTTGGTTTAGACCTGGTTTAGACCTGATTTAGATCTGGTGTAGTCTGGTTTAGTCCTAATTTACTCCTGGTTTAGACCTAGTTTTATCCTGGTGTAGTCCTGTTTTTTTTTTTTTTTTTTTTTTCTTGGTTTAGACTTGGTTTAGTCCTGGTTCAAGTGGGCGGGATTCATCACATCGATGACGTCACGAATCACATACCCCTCCACTACACCACGGATTAACATCTATCATTTACCTTTTTTTAGTAGAGATTAGAAATACCAGGGCTGAAATGATCTATGTTATGATTCTAATGACGTTGTATGGAGTTTAAAACACAGTGGAGCACTTCCTGTATTACCACATGACATCACAAGGCAGAACGGATGAAGAACTCAACCTAAATATGCAGGATTTGTGTGTTAAACGTGAAAATGCAAACACAACTCCAGGTCTGTTTATGACGAGGACACAACATTATAAACAGATCAGAAAATAACGTGATACGAGTCCTTTCATAACCTCGAAATCAACACCTGGTCATCCTCGCCCGCGCACTCCAGTGATAAATAATCCCGCCGTTTACAACTGAAAACACAATCATGTAATGGCGTCACTCTTCACCTTTTAGAGCCCTGTATTTCAAGTACACCACAGTGACTTACCTTTGCCCATAATAAAAGCGAGACCCGCACATTACCTCAAGGACGGACGGAAAACAAACTCTAATGTAAAAATACGACCCAATCTACTCACCGTGCATTATTTATGTCTCTAAATGCTAACTATTGTAATTACGACAGTGGTACAGAGGAAAGAAGAGGGCCGGTGTGGATTGGGGTACGCGGGAGTATGTGAGCCAGGCTTTAAAGGGTACTTAAAGGGCATGTACATTAGCCTGATTGAAGGCCGCAGACACAGGGTTATTCTCCAGCTAAAGGCAGCAATTAGGACAAGTTATGGCTGTAGTAACTTGAAGAAGCAGTTTATTTTTACACCTGAAAGGGCAATGCTGAGGTAGGACAAAGATATTAGGTCCAAATGTAATAATATGTAGTTTGTCAAGGTTTACCGTGAGCGAAGATTGTAAGATATCAAAAGTTGGGAACCAGCTGTGTTTGCTGGAATTCAAAATTATAATAAGTAAAACTATAGCAAATCTTCAATACATTATTTGGTTAATTTGTGAATGTGCAATTTACAAACCATAACATATCTACACAGCAAAAACTAAAGTCGGCCAAGTTAAGAAAGTTTTATCACAATTTGAGTCCATTTCAAGAAGTAAAATTATCTTAGCCTGGTTTCATTTCGTGGAAACTGTCTGACCTCACAGCATGAGGATTTGTTCGCTTGACGGTAGGTGGGTACTTTTTTTATTTAACCAATCACTGCTGTTTGGTTGTGATGTATGTAATGCACCAAATCCCGTAGGAAGAAGGGCAATAACGTCTTTCCCCTTGATAAAATTCACCAAATATTCTCTTTGTTCCGGCTTTAAATCTTCAATCTCGGAAATCGTTGCCAACATAGAATGTCTGTCTTCGTCTACATCCATCTCGATGCTTTGTTTACTGTTGTGCTGTACCACAAAATGGACCCAGACGGGCGCTTGAGTTTGACGTCATGGCTTCACAGCTCTTCACTGATTGGCCGGTCTAAAACTTCCAGCGTTTTTGCAAAACCGTCTAGTGTATTCTGATTCCTGACCTAGTCGCTGGAGAGAAATGGAATTGAGTGAAGGCACTAGATGGAGCCAGCCTGGCTAAAATTGTCTACCAATGGAACAAGACTTTTTGTACTTAAAATATGAAAATACATCCTGCTGCACTTAAAATAAGAAACAAATTGTAATGTTGCTTGAATGAAGAAATACAGACTTGTTCCACTGGTAGATAATTGTATTTGTCAAGTTGAGTCTACACAAATAAAGTCAAATATTCTTAATTTGAATTTAGCTAGATATAGTTTTTTGCAGTGTATTGTGACTCCCACAGCAGCTGCTTGTTGCTACCTGGCTCACACACTGAGCCAAAACTTGAAACGTTTTGTTTTTTGAGCTTAGTTTTTTAACATCACATCATGGGATTTTAATCTGCTAAGAAGTGCAGCATGTGTAGTTCAAAACAAGACTGTTGGATTTTTTTTTTTTTTTTTTTTTTTTAATGAACTGCTTTTTTCCATATCAATAGAGACTGTAAGAGGCTAGAACGCTATCTATGGACATTTGAGATGTCACAGGCTTTTTACATCAAATGTGGCAGAAGACCTTCCAGAGGAAATACTCCAACACCTTCCAGAGACACAGATCTCCTGACCCTACCTGACCAATCCTCCTGTTCATCTGCACTGAGACAAACAGGCAACTGAGAAGCACAGAGAAAATTGCTGCCTTAAATCTTGGATTTTGCTTGGGATCAATGAAGTATCTCTCTCTCTCTTTAAGTACTGTCACATTTAATTTTCTTCTCTTTACTCTTCCCTTTGTTCTTGTTGGGTTGAAAATAAATACTGTTTCTGCACATATACAGATGTTTTTTCTCCTTTAGGAAAAGTCATCAAATTTCAGGATAAAAGAATGATGTTTAGGGTATTTTTTCTACTGTTAAATGTCAAAACGGGTCAAATTTGACCCGAACAGTATGTAAGGGTTAAGTAATTTAATGGATTATGTTACTAACTACATTTTGGGTTATTTAATCTGTAATATGTAAGGGAATACATTTTAAAAGTAACCTTCCCAACACTGGTAATAAACCAGTACTGGTTGCAGGAGTAAGTGATATCAAGGAGCCACCATGCTCATTTGGGTTGTATTATTTTACATGGGCCTGTCAATCTTGACAGCAAATCAATTCTATATGAACACCCTTTTTAAAGCCTCCCCAAGAATCAGTACATTGTTGACTTGTTGGTGCACATGAACGTGAATGTGTCGCCTAGTGTTGGAAAGCTTGATCTCAGTTGTGGGTCATGGATCATCCAACAGAACAATGACCCAAAACACACAGCTGAAAACACCCAAAGGGCTAAGAACAAAACACTGGACTGTTGTGGAGTTTTCTTCTGTGAGCCCAGATCTCAATTCTACTGAACATCTGTAAAAGGAGCTGAAACATGCTGTCTGGAGAAGACACCCTTCAAACCTGAGACAACAAGAACAGTTTGCTCAACAAGAACAATTTGCTCATGAAAAATGGGTTGAAAAATACCAGTCGACCAGAGCAGAAGTCTCACTGACAGTTACAGAAATCGTTTGTTGCCTGAAAAGGTTGTGTAACAAAATATTAAGTTAAGGGTCCAGGCCAGTTTCATTACTTTGTTTTTTCTAATGATTCTATTTCACCACAGGTAAAAAACAATGTCTGATTTTCGTTGGACAATTTTCAAAAATGTTTTATTTATTATTGCTTTTATCAGTTTCAAGTTATTTCAGTGCCAATTGTCAATTTTTCTTTGATTGCCAGAAAGGTACCAACAATTTTGTCTGTAGTTTACACAAATAAACCTACTGTATATCAGATTTCATCACAAAGTTTTTTTTCAAATTCTCTATTGAAATGAATTAGATTCTCGCTTAACTGGAAGTGCCACCACGAAGAAAGCATTTAGACAAAAGTTCGCTTACCGATGGCATCTCCTTGTTCATGCACCATACTGGCCAGGTCCTTCATGATCTGACTCACATCCAGCATGTCTCTCTGTGGACAAAAGAAACTCACATTAGACTCATAATATTGTCGCTATACCTGATGTTAAGAAAAAAAAAGAAAAAGAAATGAGAATGTAATTTGTATTGACAATATGTTGGTTATTTAGTTTGTTTGTCAGTGACTCAGAGTCTTCATCCAATCAAAATAAAATATATAAAACAGAACTGCAGTAATAATAATGTAAGTAATGCCAAATGACACATCAACGGTAAAATGCCAGAGGTAGGAATCAAACTACAAACCTCACTGGGCAAGCACATACTGAGAAAACAAATGCAAAACAAAACAAAACATGAAAACATCTTCAAATGTGTGCACAATGTAACTTCCTTGATTATAAATCCACCTCCTGCTTGTCTCTATGGATTTGTTAGAGCTTTTCAAATATGTTCCACAATATGGCATTGAACATATCCATTTCCATGGAGACGAGCAGGTGGTGTCACGAGTTACAGGTTCAATTTGAAACGATGAACTGCTTCAGTCACAATGCAAATGTTTTTTGGGCAATGAAAACACCTATAATGAAACAAAAGCGAAATAGTTTCATACTGCGGAACATTGAAGGAGACAAGCAGGTGGCAGAAAAGTTCCATAGTGCAGTGAAAATTCTTTAAACAAGTGTCATCAGAAACATAAACAGGCCAGTCTCCAGAAGTGTCCTGCACGGTGTCCCCGCTCAGTCCCTGTTGACCATATTGCTATGATTTGGAGCAGAGCAGTCACAATCTCATTTGGAGCTTGTTTGAAATGAGATTGGTATCAGGGCTGCAGATGTATTTGAGTTTGGACGGCTGCCGACCAAATTGGATTTCAGAGTGTAGTTTGTGTCACTGTGAATGTGGAGCTGGACACAAACATGAGCTCTGCACTGACAGTAGAGCGGGAGAGGACACAGGAACATACAGAGGGCATGGACGCTCTGCAGGGCTGGTGGTGGCAGTGGACGTCTACAGCGGCGGGCAAATAGTGCAGAATTAGACCGACTGAATACTGTTAACGAGGACGTATCAGACATAACATACTCAGATCAGAATCAGAAGTTAAATTTTGTTGGTTTGAAAGTACTATATTCGCCAAAAATAACATTTTAAAAAGTGTGAAGGGCCCATATTACAGTTTTCTGATTGCCGTGGACCAAACAAAAATGGACAGATACGATATAAAAATAAGTGGTAACACCTTAAATACCTTATTTAGCCTTAATAAAGCATGAACAAAGGCTTAATTAATAATGAACAAAGACTTAATTAATAATGATTCACGCTTAGTAACTACTTAATTACTCCCTGAATTAGCACTTGCACTTAATTTGCCTGTGCTGTAAATAGTTACTCATAATTAACAATTTGAGCATTTATTAATCATTAGTAAACTATGAGAGAATGATTTATTAATAATACAATGCAATGATAATTCAGGCAGCTGTTATCTGTTAGTTAAGTCTTTATGAGAGCTTTTCTAAAGTGAAGACGAATTATCCTTTATTAAGCATTTACTAAGCGTGAATCATTATTAATTAAGTCTTTGTTCATGCTTTATTAAGGCTAAATAATGTGTAGTTATTATAAAGTGTTACCAAATAAGTTAAGTTTAAAAAAGTCAAAAATAGATGTAATTTAACAAAGGCTCAAGTTCGGTACATCATTAACAAAAATCTGGGCCAATTGGGGCAACTTAATTTACGTTTACAATGAAACGAATCACCGTATCTGAAATGTTTTGCGTTCAGACACGTCGTTTCTGTGTCCGCAATCCTTCCCTATTCACACAACTTTGAGCATATTTGTTTATGTTTTACAGAAACTAAACTTAAAGTTATTTAAAGACTGTTTTTTAAAGACTGTATTTGACACACAATATTTTAACTATTTATTCTTATTATTATCTGTGCTGCTGTTGACCTGGACCTGAGTGCAGTATTCCGTTTCTGTGTATTTTTTTTTTTTTAATACTGAAATGACAAATAAATTCTGATTCTGATTCGTAAAACCACATGGCTAATAAACTAAGCGCTCAAAAACAGCTCGCTATTGTGCGCTGATACGGTTCAGCTTCTGTCGGAGTAAAGGACACGACTCAGTGGAATATGAGTGTTCTTTCTGTGACAGAGGGATGTTCTGCTGATGGTGAGTCTGTTCTGTGTTTCTATCGCGTTGGAGATGGTTCATGTGAAACTTTTCAGAGATTATTCTTCTGCAGGTCGTACGCACAGACCATATATATGCATGGAAATATATTCTAGCCTCTTAGCGTTTTGGAGGTGAATTACTTGGTGGCACATAGACCTACGTCAGCGTGACAGCATTTCAGGCATCCACACTGTGCCGGGTCAGATCTGTACTCAGATGAATTCATGGGAGCTGGTGGCACCAGATCGTTCCATCTCTGGAGCCGTTTTCCATCGGATTAGTGTGAACGAACACTGCATCCACAACGAAAATGACTCAAATACTTACTATTGTGGACAGGGCCTCAAATCAAACTAAATGGAACAAAATTAACTCAACCAGACAAAGAACAGGGGTGTTTAAATACATGAGGACCAACTAAAACTGAACACAAGAGGGGGAAATTACACTAAATAGTTAACTAAAACTACTAACTTAATCAAAGTAACAAGTATAATTCAGAAAATAAGTGATAATAAAGTGACCTTAAACAAACCATTGTTCGGAGTAGATGGTCTCTGCCAAAGGTCCTCCGTCCTCCTGGAGTTGTGTTTTGTTTCATTCACACATGTTTAACACACAAACTCTGCATGTTTAGACTGTCTAGGAGTTCTACTGTCAAACAGAAAACACTCCGCTGTGTTTCAAAACTCCATACACCTTCACTAGAAACATTTGGATAATTTCAGCCCTGAAATTGCCAATCTCTAATGAATTAAAAGGTAACATATAGGTGTTAACTTTAAAGCTATCCCTTGAAATAAAGCATTCTGAGTGATGGGAGATGTAGACAGAATAATAATATTAATAAAAAAGGGTTACTCAAACATGTGAATGAAACAAAACACCACTCCAGCGACCTTTTAAGGAGGTAACAACATGACTTGGAGCTCGCATGAGTCAATTTTGCTGAATATAGGGCCTTCAATTAGTCTGTCTGTGCCGCTTGCTGTTTTGTGAGGGACGGGCTGAGCGGGGAGCGGCTGTGTGGTGCGAGCATGGGGAGCGCTCCCACCACTAGACGAAAAGGCTAAAAACTTGAACTGCATGACCTGTTTGCATCTACAACAAGTTGGCTCTTAGCAGGGGATGTTTCGAAGGTAATTTGATTGATGAAAGGCCCCCAAAGAGCCAGACTAGGTAGACGTTAAAAACAAAGGGACTGAAAAGCTTTCTGAGAAAACACACAGACCTGGTTAGTTTTTGATGGCAGAACATTATAACTTGAAAAGGGGCTGTGTAAGTAAATTAGGCATAACATAGACTCTTAATAATATTTCATCATGGGTAGACAATAAGTGTGTATATGTTAGGGATGTCTCGATCACATTTTTTTTGCCCTCGAATCCGAGTCCTTTGATTTTGAGTATCTGCCGATACTGAGTCCTGATCCGATACTTCTATAAAACATTATAAAATGAACTAAGAACAAAGAATAAGATCCAGGATGTGTGGAGGATCAGATTGTGTTGATTTCAATGTTTAGTGTTTGGGCTGAACATAGTGTGAAAAATCTAATGTCCAGAACTTACATTTTTTTAATGAACTTTTCTAACCATTCATCATCATTGTTGAAAATCTTGACTTTACACACTCTGGTCTTGGAATGTGTAACTTAGTAAACTTCATGCACTGGACAAAACAGGAACCAGACCAGAATCAGATCAGACCTGAGACTCGACTCTGCACAATCTAGAGTTTGTATATTTGATATTATATTGAAGCCTGTGCATCACATTTGAAACATTTAGGCTCGTCTATGAAATCTAAATAATACCAAATCTTACCAAATAAAAACGAGATGACAGAAGCCCCACAGCCTCTTTCCCCTGCACTGCCCCCACATCCACAAACCCACAGGGGAGCGCGCATCACAACATCGCTCTCACTGCTCAATAGACACTTCCTGCCCCTGGACGGACCCTCACCTCCAAAAGCTCAGCTGCGCAACATGCGCACGTGCAAGATGCCATTGGCCCCGCATGTGTGAACACGGGCCACAGAACCCCAGGTAACAACGCCCAAGTACGGCACGGCCCAAAAGTCCCAGCGTAAGTGCGCCTTTAGTACAGTACAGCAGGGACAGACAGTCGCACTGACTGGACGTCCCTGAGCAAATCCCACGCCTCAGAAAAACTGTTGTGTCCTGTGTGTTATATACGTATATTATTTATCTGATGCCTGATCAGCACATAACGGGCGAGTCTGGATTGAGTCTGCAGTCACGTGATGGGTACAGATTTCACATGCACATCAGTATCCCGGTTATGATCGACTTTTTTGAGTACCCCAGTTTTGTCATGGTGCATGTCAATCAATCAATCTTCATTTATAGAAGCGCTTTTCATACAAATAAATAAATAAATAAAAGCAACACAAAGCTCATGTATACACAATTTCCCAGTTTCTCAGTGCCCATGTAGACAGCATTTCCTGAATATTGCCATATCCAGGATATGGCTAAAAACCAGGACACTGATGTTTATGTTTACGCACTCAGTGATGCCTATTTTTAATGGTACCTAAAACACATTATACCATATATATTCAACTGAGCTTTAGCTAAAAAACATGACTTTTGACTCTGACTATCACCTAAACATTGTAAACATTGTAAACATTTGTATTTGTGTAGAAATAACTTTCATAATTTCACCAAAATTTCACAAAATTGATTCTTGTGAGCTTTGAACCATGTTACAAAGCTGTTGCCTCATCAAAAACATTTTTTCATTTTTTTGTGTTTCATTCACGTTTGTTTAATCCTGGTTAATTGCTCTGTCCACGTCTGCAAAGCTCAAAATACAAAATGTTCCA